TTTCTGCCAGTCCCTAATCCAACACTACCTCTGTCCACAACCAACAAGATGGCTGTGTGTCTGCTCCCAATTTCTGCTAGCCAGTGTGGGTCCTGGAGAGCCCCCAATTCCATGCAAAGAATTCAGAAAGGACCTGAGGGCTGCGGAACTTCTAGGGCCCCTCTCCTGGGTCCCCGGAGTGCAAAGCTGCCTGGAAAGGGACCCTGCATGTGTCCCTGTGCCCAGCCTCTGCCCAACAGCCATCACTGTCCTCTGGGGTCTGGAAGGAAAGGCCTGCTGCACTCTGTGCTGTGAGGTCAGGACTCAGGCTTTGGAATTGGAGAACTCTGCTCTAAGCTCAAATCTTCCCAAAGGTTTGTTTCTGGGAGAGGGGGCTGGGGACAGAGAAGAGGAGGGAGGGAAGAGGATAAGCATGGCTGGGTGAGCTGAGGAGAGGTAGGGAGGGAAAAAAGAGTGGAGCACTGGCCCTCAGTAGATGCAAGTGCTCTGCTTCTCCCCTGTTGAGAACCAGGGGCCCAAAGGAGGAGCTCTGTACAACCACCCATCAAGGCCTCTTCCGGTTCTGCAGGGCAGGGAAGGGTGCTGTGCTCTACTGGGCAGTTCTCTCCTTGTCTCCCAGGAGGTGGTCACTGGAAGATGAAACTTGGAGTTGTGGTTATCTGATGGCTCACACAGTGTGTGCCCCAGAGCTCCCAGCCCCAGGTGGCTTTGGGTCAAGGTAGGCCAGGCCCAGAAGCAAGGACAAGATCCAGACCCTGTGTCTGGATGGGGGAGTCTGAGGGCACAGACGGATGTGCCCTGCTGTGGCCAGCAGGGGGATGGGCACAAGCAGCAAGTCCAGCTAACACAGGCAGCTCTGGGAGGGACAGGGGACCCGCAGGCCTCTCTAGAGCTCCTGGATGTCATGGCAACCCTGGAGACTCTACTCTAAGGACAGTCCTTGAGGACAGGAATGGTCTGTTCCCATCTCTGGATTCTCCACAGCTCCTGTGTAAGCCGGGTACACAGTAGATCCACATAAGTGGATCTGCAGGGGACCAAGTAGAAGGGTAGCTCTGGCTTCTCCAGGAGGTTCTTCTGGGTGCTGCATGAGCACTTGCTCCTCTTCATGCAAAAGAGGGTCGAGGTGGGCTGGCACCTAAGTATGTACCGTGCTGCCTGGTATGCAGCAGTTCCTTAACAAATGTGTGTTGAGTGAATAAATGACTGCACTGACTCAAATGACAATGTAAACATCCTCTGGTAAGGGGAACTTATTCGTCTCCCTACACTTCGGGAAGGTGATCACGCCACACACGCACCCTCAGACCACGGTAGGTGAAGGGAACACGGACACCTGGCTATGAGAGTTAGAGGTGCATCAGTCACGTGACGCTGGACGTCTCATAGAGACCCTCACACAAGTCCAGGAGCTGTGCGCATGCACAGACGAGGAAACAGTGGCTCAGAGATAGCAGGCCCTTACTAAGATCACACAGGCTTGTCAGCACTAGGAGCGAACTTGGAGCACGGCGCCCGACCCCACACCCTGGATTCTCTGGCTGCTGTGCTTCCATGAGACTCGGGAGGGCGGGTCCAAGCGTGCAGGCCACGCCCCTTCTCGGTGGCTGAAGAAGGCTGAGAAAAAGACCATCATCCATCGGTCCTCCCTTCCCCTGAAAAGTCTCACCTCGGTGTTAGCACAACAAAACTTTTAATTTAGATGTTTTCATCTCTCTCTTCAAGTAAAAATAAGTTTAAAATAATGACTGTAATAAATGAAGGTAATTAATTGTAGTTTGTTCCTTTACTGTCTAGTCAGCTTAATTTTACCTTTTCAACTAATAATGAGAAAATAATTTTTGTGCTCGGAGGGTTAATGATATGTAACTGTGAGAACTGCTAATTGCATGTTGCAATCCATCCATCAACAACCCCATCTGTGCGACTTGATTATGTTTGCTAAATTATTGCTTTGAATTATCTTTCATAAAGCAACTTTTGTAATTAGCGGGGCTTTCGTCTTGCTCTTTTCTCTGTGCACAAGGATATTCAAACTTTGGCCATTTGAAGCTGTCTCCATTAAGCCACCTTCTCTGGCTGTCTTTGTTTCCCTGAGCAGGGGAAATCATAACTGTCCTTTAAGCAATCAAGGCAGAAAAAGAATCTTCCTTCATTCACAGCAGGACACATTCACTTCCTCCCCACTCCCTCCCACTAGCCGGGGGTGGGGGGGGGGGAAGAAAAGAAAAAGAAAAAAGAATAAGAGAAAAGAGAAAGACCCACTCACATACAGTATATGAAGATAAAAAGGCCACGCAGAGTCTGCGCCCACCAGGGCTGGTGGAGCGGATTTCTGAAGCGAACTCCAACACGGTATATTTCAAGCAAAGGCGCGCGAGGAGTCCGGGAGGCAGGAATGATGGGCGGGCTATTCAGCTGCAGCGGCATTTTATGGGCTGGTTTATGTGACTTGGGACAGCATTTGCCCCAGGGAATATTCCAGAAGGTGATTAATGCCCACTTGGGAACCTGCAGCTCCAGCCCAGAGCCCCGTGGATTGCGGGAGGGAAGCGGTATAAAGGATGAACCCTCATTAGAAAAATTAAAATGAAAATCGTATTTGGATTATAAACAGCCTGGGCGTGAGCAGCTTGCTGGGGACCGAGAGAAGGCTTGTTATTAACACCTTTCCTCGACAGCTGTGCTCCCCACACCGCCAGGCGTGGGGAGGGCCTTGAGAGTGCCAGGCCTTCCTCAATAGATCATGAGGAAAGCAGGGGTTTTGGGGCGGACGATTCCAGAGAAACGCAGCCTTTGGTACACTAAAGGCATGATGGAAAGCGCTCTTAAGAAAATGAATGAAGTTCCTTGAAGATCTCCAGCCACTAAAGCCGTGTCTATGCACCACACCACATGGGGTTCAGAAACAAGGGCTCAGCTCTGTTCCCCTCGGGCTCCATCATGGCTCTCTGTGCCCCAGGACTTAATTGAGCACCAACTGTGCACCACCGCGCTGAGCTGATGCCTCGGAGCTGCCTGGATCTGGGACTCCTCGCTGGTGCAGGAGGGAGGCTGAAGTTCAGAGAGGTCGAGGGACCTCCCCAGGTCACAGGACTGGTTCACACTCAGAGTTCAAATCTGTGTCCTGTTGCAGAGGTAGCCTACTTCCTACAAGGACAGGAAGCCTCCTTCTTTTGGATACAAGGCCTTGGCAGCTGGGTAGGGAAAGACAGCTGCCAGTCCAGCTACAGTAGAGGGCAAAACTTCTGGAATCAGAGGTCACCGGTTTGTTCTTCCTCAATCACAACTCTATGATGTATGTAAAATTATTGTCCATTTTGCAGATGAGGAAACGGAGGCACAGGGAGGTCAAGCAATTCACCCAAGGTCACACAGTTAGGGGGCAGCCAAAGTGTAGCTCACATCTCCCTGGAAGATCTCCAAGTGCCAGACATGACAGCAACCTCTTTCCCTGCGTTGTACTTTGGTGAATCCCACTCCCAATACTAAAAGACCTCGAGTGTCTTCACCTTCACCTCACAGACAGGGCGCCTGAGGCTGTCGGAGGCTAAGAGAAGCCCTGCCCCCGCCAACCCTAGCAAAGGAAGTGCTGACAAGGTGACACTGTCTGCAAAACAGTGCTCTGCCTGTCTCTGGGCTGTGAAGGCCCCAGCTGCTGAAGAGGCAGTGTGCTGAGGGGCCCTCCTGGGACCAGGAGTCAGCAGGTGGGAAGTTCTATTTTTTAAAAATCACAAAGCCAGAAAACCACATTCCTAACCTTATTACTTCCTTTCATTTTGGCTCCACCCACCTCCTGGTGCAGGTGCCTCACAATCAAATAAACTAGAACTGAATGGTCTTATAAATATAAATAAGCACACTAGTCCACTTGGTAATAAAATGAAGGGCTGAGAAATATGGAGATAGCAGCACTGGTGTAGATCCAGTTCCCCTCCTCCCTCCTTTCCTTCCTTCCTCATGGTGTTGGGATTGAATACAGAGTCCTCACACTATGCTACATTCCCAACTCTTTTTTTTTTTTTTTTTTTTTTTTTCTGGTACCAGGGATTGAACTCAGGACCCTGCGCTTGCAAGGCAAGCGCTTATTCTATTGAGCTATCTCCCTGGCCCATACATTCCCAACTCTTGAAGAAATTTTTATTCTGTTAGAGGGTTTCACTAAGTCCTTAAGTTGCCCACGCTCAGCTGGAATTTGCCACCCTCCTGCCTCAGCCTTCCAGAGTGCTACGTTCCATTTACTTCAGTACTGCCTCACGCACTTACATGGCTCTGTGGCACTTGGCAGAAAACAGAATTCAAATGCATTCCTGCCAGTGAGCTCCGGACAGTGCCAGTCCCCAGAAGTAGCAGCCCGCTCCTGGCTTCCCTTTTATTTGTCGACCTGGGTGACTAGTCTTTTTCTAGACTGTGCCTGTCTGGCGAATGGACACTCTTACAATCTTGGCCACAAAGTCAAGCCACAGGAGAAACGAGGAGTTTCTGCAAAGGCAAGAGGAAGGCTGTGCCTGGGATAACCTGGCTGTCACGGAGAGCTGGGGTCCATGGTTGGCAGGAAGAGTTTGGACAGTGCTGACCTGATGCATGAAGTGGGCTAGTGGAAAGGCCTGCTGCAGGGGCTGGTAGCTGCCTGTGCTTATCTGCAAGGCTACTTTCAGATGCAAGCTGCACAGAATGCCAAGGGGGGCCTTGTCTCCTCAAACACACCACCAACTTCAAAACCCAGAACCTAGGAGTGATGGTAAGGAGGCCCATTCATGGTCACAGATCTTACACAGAACCAAACCAGTGGGAGGCTGGGCACAGGGCACCGAGAAGGAGGTGCTGGGGATGAGGCTGGAATTCTGTCAACCAGGACACCCAGGACGGGGACAGGGTATACAATGGGGGCAGCTTTGTCCAGAGCTCTCCATGGCTAAGGCTGCCTCGGCCAACTCCAGGTGGGATGGGACAGGAAGCAGGGGATGCTTTTCTGACATGCCTTGGGCCTCAGATCTTACCTCAGCTTGGAAGCTTTTTAATACAGGCGCCACCATCTCTCTGATTTCCTGAAAAAGAGATCAGCGAAGGGTTCATCACAGTGCCAGGAGGGCACCCCATAGTCCCTGACTGTTGTCCCCTGGGGTCAGCACATCCCAAGTGCCCTGCAGAACCTGCACTCTATGGGATTTCATAAGGGGTACCCCCTGATCCCATACAAAACCAAGTCAGATCGACAAACAGTAAGTCCAAGAGATCCCTTTCCTGTAGTACTTTTTAGAGCCCTTAATGTGTGTGATACACACTGGAACTTTGTGGAAGAGGGACAGAGGAAGTAGCATTTCCCATGTGGATTTATCACAGCTTGGCCTTTTATGCAAAGCCCCTTGTGGAATGGGACAGCATCACGGACACTCCTGAGTAGGGCTAGAGAAGCGGCCTACTTCTCCCCTCTCTGTGCTACCACCAAAGCCCTTTAGCATGTCTCTCTGTCTTGTCACTTGGGGGCTGTCTTCTGCAGCATGCTGTCTCCCACATGCCAACACCCCACTGTGACTGCAGCTTGTGTCGACTTCTCTACCTATGTGTCCTTCCTCACCACAATGCACAGTGAGTTTTGGGGACCTGTTGGGCCCCCTTGTGCGGTACTGCTCAGCTTAGAAGGGCTCCACCAACACCGATGGAAGCTATGGATGGAAGCTATCTTCACGGAACATCTGCCCTGGCCACTGGGGCCCTCTAATTTGCAGACCTGAATTCCCTGACTTCTTCTTGACCTTGCAGTTCTCAGACCCAAGGGCTACCCTGGCAGATCCCTATTGGTTCTTTTCCCCGATGTAAAGAGGGAAGCCTCCGAACTACAGGTTCCCAAACATTAACCCCAAAGCCTCTGGGATCCACAGTCAGCCAGAGTACAAGAAAACTGGGGGGAGGGATGGGGAAGGGCTGGAGGGGGAAACAAAGAGAAACAGAAGAGATGGGCAGAAGGATACAGGTGGTCAGGGAAAGATCCCATTAGCCCTGAAAAGAAAGTTGTGTTGTCTTTGCCCTTGGAAGCTCTCTCCGTCCTGGGTCCCCTCTTCACTAATTTCTGTCCTCCAGGTCCTCTTGGAACTGCTGATACACTGACATAAGTGGAATCTATACGTGGGGATGTAGACAGTGCCCATGACCTCCCTGGATCTGGTCCCGAGGGTCCTCAGTGCAAAGGCTGGGGGATGGCAGAGATGAGGTATGAGATGCCAGGTCACAGTGGTGAACCCAAGTGCCCATCAAGGCCAGGCAGGGAGTGGACAGGAGGGAGCTGGGCTAAGAGGATGCAGTGCCTTGGGTCCAGCTTACAACCCAGCATGGCATGGAGCCTGCGGGCTACGAAATTGTTGGGCAGCCTCAGAAGACACAGGAAAGCCAATTTGCAGATGAAATTTGAGATGCTAAATGCCGGGAGACTTTACAGACTGAATAAAACACACAGCAGGTGACTCCTGGTCCAGGTTTTGGAAATGTTAGTGACAGAAGGGGTCTCTTCAGGGTCACACAGCAAGAAGGTAGCATGGTTGGGACTTGAGCCCAGGCCACCAGACTTCCTACAAAGGCTCTTTTTATAACCCTACACTCAAGTGAATTCAAGAGACCAGGATCTGGGAGCTGATGGTGGGGGAGTCTGACAGGGTCTGTGGCCATTTCTGGGGGCCCTCTGCACCCTCTAGAGATGAACTGCAGGGGAGGCTGGGCAGAGGCAGGAGCAGCAGGTGAACTGGCACCAGACAATGCTCTTAAATAAAGCCTTGGCACAACTCTCCCATCGGGTGAGACAAATTCCAAAACTGAGAATTTTTAGAGCCATGACTATAACAGGAATGGAAACTTATTCCTCCTAATTACATAATTGCATAATTATGCAGTATTAAAATTATGTAAGTCAAACTCCAAGGTTTAAAACCTGGCCTGGATTTCCCTTATCACCTGGGGGGGGGAGGTCCACATGGACGAAGGCAGGGGTGAGGAGGGGGCATTTCCTGTATTGGGAGAAAGAGAACAAGACAGACAGTTTAAGTGGACCAGAGAGATTGAGAGGGAGAAGGTGTGCAGGGCTGTGACAATCTGCAGCCCACTCAGCTCTGTGCTTGCCAGAGATGGGTAAGTCAGGGGCACTCTCCTCCTGGGGAGAAAGGTCAGCTTAAAGGCCAAGCTGTGTGATTTTGGGCAGAGGAGTGGGGGATGCAGGTAGTGTCCATCAGTACCACCTAGGGCTTTATAGCGCTTGGGAGTAATGCAAGGACCTGACTCAGCTTTTCCAAGGCTGTGACGGGGGAGACGTCCTCTACTCTGAGATTCATGCCTCCTCCTTGAACACTCTCAGTCCTCAAACTTCAGCTTCTTTTTTTTTTTTTTTTTCGCAGAACCGGGAATTGAAATCAGGCCCTTGTGCTTGCCAGGGAAGTGCTTATTTTACTGAGCCATCTCCCCAGTCCCTTCAGCTTCCATCTTGACTTGGTCCACAGACAATTCCTAGCTAAATCCCAGGCCCTGCTCTTCCCTTAACTGGAGAAAGCTATGATGGGTGTGAGCAGGATTTTATAGCGAAGGCATTGAGGCTGCCTGGCAGGAGGCCTGCTTCCTCACTAGCCCCCCTCCATTGAAAGGACAGAAAGGAGAGCTGGGAAGTAGACAGGCCGGGTGTAACTGCTGGACTCAAGGTCTCTGCCGTGGGCCCTGCCACCCTCTGCCAGAGTCCAGCACACTGAGTAGGTAAGGCCGGAGCACGGAGCAGTGGAGCCTTAACCTTCTGCTGCCCAGAGGGAGACACAGGTGGCTGGGGTTAGGCCTGGCCTCATGTCTGTCTCCCTGATGGTGCTGATGTGTTGTATCCCTGCCTATGTAACAGAGTCAAGGACTTTCTTTTTCTTTCTTTCTTTTTAGGGACTTTATTTTTCTATTTGTGTTTATGCTCATCATTTTTTTTTAAATTTGAGAAGCAACAGGGGGCCTGATAGAGGAGATAAAAGAATTCACACATTCACCCTGGCAAGAACAGAAACATGTCTGTGCCAGTCTGTTTCTCTTGGGGGTCCTGCCATTGCGGGGGGCTGGTCATTCTTGGGGCCACCCCATGGCAGCAAAGAGATGAAGCTGGCAGCTGGAACTAGGAGAGAGTGGTGTGGAGAGGGAAAATAGGTGCATTTACAGGTGGCGGGGACAGAGTTTTGGGGGTGACAGTGGAATCCATCTCTGCCAGCTCACGGATGCCAACAAAAAAACAAAATAAAATCAAGAGCTAGGGCCAAGCTGCTTTGCTGTCAAGGCTAAGCATTTGACTTAGATGTAGACGTGGAGGAAAATGGACGTCTCCTGGAGTCCTCAAAAACAATGACTTTAATGGAGAAGTGGTTTTGCCCTAACTTCAGACAGCACTGCTGAGCACCGCTAAGCCAAGAAGCCCTGAGAGGCGGGGGACTGTAATTCTTCTTTGTGGCTAATTAGCTTCTTTTCTTGTTAGTCACTTATGTCTACAGTTTTCAAAATATAGTTTGAACAGAGAAAAATCTGCATTCCTACTGAGTTAATTCTATAACAGCAAATATACTGTACCTCAGGTACATTTTTCTTAAATTCCCGGCGGAGTTCAATTAAATGTTTATGAGAATGCTCACTCTCCTCCTGCCGTGCAGACAGCTCAGAAGCGATGGAATTAAGCTCCTTCTGGAACAATAAGAGAAAGAGAGAGAAAGAGAGAAGGACAGGGAGAGAGAGAGAAGAGGAGGGAGAGAGAGAGAGGAAAAAGATTTTTTTCCTCTTTTTCCTTTTTAATCATTGCACAAAATAGCATACTGAACAAGTTTTTGTAACTTACAAAGCTTAGAAAAGATATTGACTCCTGGCACAAAGGAATAATTTACAAAGCTGGGGAGGCAACCAGGAAAAACAAAAATCCAGGACAGCTTTTTTGCTTGCTGGAAGTCAGGCCAGGTCAATAGTCTCCCATAAAGTTGGGTGGAGTTGTTGGTTTTCCCCATCTCTTCCCCACCCCTGCCCCACCTCTTAAATTTCCAAAGGAGTGATGGCATAAGCTTGTCAGTAACTGTAGAAAACATCTCCAAACCGTGTCAAAATAGTAAAGTGCGGCATATTGTATGGGCATATTATAGTGCAGGAAAGTGCTGTCGACAGCTTTCATATATCAGAGGTGGGAACTGTTCCAACTATGACTTACTTACACTTAAAGGTTCATAAATACGCCTCTAAAGATATAGATGGCTTTTTAATTTCAGTAGATTTTGGAAAAATGAAGGTGCCAATAAGAAGCATGCTGACCTTGCGTGTACCCTACGGTAAATCATTTAAGGTTCACTTCGGGTATAAGAAATATTTCATTGAAGACTCCTGGACTGGGAGGAAATGGATTAGAAAGCACCCTGTCTGCATGTGTGCGACGAGGGCACGAAACCACGGTTTTTCTCGATGTACCAGTGAGAGGGAAAGAGGGAAAGAGGGAAAGAGGGAGAGAGAGAGGGAGAGAGAGAGAGGGAGAGAGAGAGAGAGGGAGAAAGAGAGAGAGAGAGAGAGAGAGAAAGAGAGAGAGATGGAAGGAGATGCTGCAGTTCACACTTATCACAGACAATGTGTGCTGGTCGTATATGTATATTTGGTCGCCCTTCTTGAAGCTTTCTTCACTTTAATGGTGGCAGCTTCACAGGGGGAGTACAATTCACCATGAGTTGTCATGGATTTCATTTGCATAATTCAAGAAATGCTCTGTTTATGTGGTCTGCTGCTTTCTGGCACCATCTCGAGATGGGCTTTTTTTCTGGACCATAACTCGAGGAGCATTTCTGTATATATCACACGATTATATTTGCAGCAATCAAGCCCCATAATTTCCTAAATCCAGTGGTGCAATAAATTTCTTCAATCAGATTTATTAAAAACACACACGCAGATGCGGAGTGTATTTCCAGGGTGAACTCTTTAATCTAACATATGTATGATGAGGCCCGGCACCGTGTTGAAAGACCCCATTTGTCATTGCTAATACACATTCATCTTGCACACACAATGAAACACTTTTACCATTAGATAATGAAATAAAAGTACTATTAACCTACTGCAAATCCTTTTCCCTCGAAGAGACAAAATGCATGGTAATTGTCTTATATCATGTCTGAGAGTCGCTAAGTCTGCTCAACAGCAATTCACCTTACCACCATAAACCTGGTACCTGATGCCTGGGACCACTGCCTCTGGCCTCTGGAGACTTCTAGAGTAATCCTGGAAATAATTTTTGTTTCTAGAGAAATTAAAAAATTCTTCTAACCTCTTAGAAGAATCATAAGATGAGGCTGAACAAGGCAGAGGCACAAAAATAACTGAAAACAGAGGCTGAGGGACGGGTGCTCTCCAAGGTGCTGAAACAAATTCTTGCAAGAGCACAGGGTAAACCTACTTCCAACCCAAGACTCCCCTGTAATTTTGAGCTAGTCGAGAAACAAGGTATGAGAAAAAAGGAAACTTCTCTTCTATCACCATTTAAAACTAATTGTATTTGCCAATAAAGAAATCACAATGGACCACAACCAAAACATCAAGAGACTGGGGAGAAAATGTTTGTAGCAATATATAAAGGTTGACAAAAGCCAACATCTGATGCAGCCAGGTAGACAGAATCTCACTTGGCAGGAGACAAAGAACTGGAGTGCCATGGTCAATCGGAGTTGTGGCAGAGTGCTCATCAAAGTTTTTCTTATTTCTTTTCAAGACAATGATGTAATTTTTATATTGCTGCAGGACAAACAGAACTGGAACTTGGGTTTACATCACTTGATTTGGGGCTATCATATCTGACACTGTGTCCGTATCTTAGCGACACTGTATCTCTCCACATCACAGCAATCAGGATCAGTGCTGGGAGCTGGACTTTCACTCTCATTAAAAATATCCAAACCAGCCATATCCAAGGTTCTAAAAAGAAATCTCAGAGCAGGTGAATCCAGCTGCTGGATGTGTCCCACTGTCGTGCCTTGCTCCTCCCACCTGTACCTCCTGGCTGCTGGTGGACACAGATCTGACAGGCAGGGTGTCTGCTGCACCCACACTGCAGGGAGCAGGGACAGGCAAGGCAGAGAGTATCAGCAGCCCGGCCATACGCGCAGCCCTCCTGTGGGGGCCTTGGAGGCCCTGAGGTCACAGATGTTCACATTCTCCTTAACTTTGCCTAAATCTATATTCACACCTCAACCCCAAATTCTTGCTATATGTCTATGGTAAGCTCCCCTACAACCAGTAATACTAACAGCAAAATCTAGCATTTATCCAGTGTTCACATACACCAGGCACCATCCTGTGTTTCTAATATCCATCATCTCATGTAACAAACACATTAATGTGTCTATAAGGTGATTCAAACAGAGTCTAGGAAATAAATTATAGTCAATTCTAACAGTTGAGGTATGGCTGATCCCCTTAGTGGATTATAAAGGCAAATTTTTAATGCCTTGCTCTTTAGCAGGCTTCTGCTCCACTTCCCTATTAGCTGGGGGGCGTGTGGGGGAGCTTGTTTCAAATGATGTAATATAAATGGGAGAGCATCAAGCACAGCACCAAGAGTTCAATAAATGTGAGCTGATATTAATCTTATTTTAGATATACTGAGAGCTCAAAGAATGCCTCACTGGATCAGCAATTTTAAGAGTTCTGAGCTTTATGGGTCAGTAAAAATCTTACCAAAAAGAAAAAGAGAGAAAAGAAAACAAAAATAAGCAAAAACAAGACTCACAGAGCATTGCCAAGTTTGATGGCAAGTGAAGAGATTAAAAACTACTCCTTTCCACCCTAAAAAAATATTGGAACATCAACAAAGCAACAGGGCCAAATACAGAATTGACAATGGTCTTTTAAAATAAACATGCTTAAAATAAAAAGCTCATGGTACTATATTTATTTCAAAGGAACAGAAAAAAAATTCTGTCATGAACATAAACCAGCCCTGATCTGAAGTGGAGTTTTAGAAACACGTGTGCAGACCACAGCGCACCCACCTAGCAGGGCCCCGGCTTCCACAATCCCACCGGATCAGGGCCTCTCTCAGTGTGGCCCCCACCCCCAGCCCTAGGGGGAACCATGATTAACACAGCCCCAGACTTTGGGCCAGGCCCAAGCTGGGAGGAGACTCATCTGATTAACCGGCCATCAGCAGCAGACAGACAGCCCGGAGCCCGGGCGCAGACCATTCAAATAATGATCATCATAAACAGCCCATTTGCAACTAAAAAGAAATAATTTTAATGAGCTTGAAGCAGATGATGGAAGCAGCTGAGGCTCGGGCCAATCTGCAGAGAAAGGAAGCTGGAATACAGCCTCCCCCAGACCAGCCACGGCAGGAAGCAAGGGCTTGCAGGAAGGGGCTCTTTGGCTGGGACTGGCAGCCCCACCACTTACTGACTGCAAGTACCCGCTGCCTGGAGAGTGCCCCAGCCCCAAGAGGGTCTTGCAAGGACTCAGACTTCAAGACCCTAGAACACATAAGCCACAGAGAGCCCAGTGGCCCAAACCTAGACACCTGCTCCTTTGCATAAATTTTGTCATATTACTATTTCATCTAAACAGCTATCCACTTAATATTTGTCTTCAAATTGACCCCTAGAATTTTCTTGGTTGAGAGAGGCATGACTTTAAGTTCAACAACTTTAAGTTTATGTCCTTGTAAGTCCTGCCCAGTTTGGGACATAAGAGCACAGATACCCCAGCCCCTCAGAAACTCCCTTGTGCTCCTAAATGCATGTATTATTATTATTATTATTATTATTATTATTATTATTATTTTGAGACAGGGTCTTGCTGTGTAGCTCAGCCTGGCCTTGAACTTACTATGTACCCCAGGGTAGCCTTGAACTTGGGGTGATCCTCCTGCCTCAGCCTCCAAGGTAACCATTAATCTGACACTAGGCATCACAGGTATAGCTGGATTGTTCTGAACCTCTGTATGACTCTTTCCTTTCTTAAACCTAAACAACTGCATTTGAAAATGAACTTTGTCACTAGCATATACTGTGCCATAAACACTGCCTTAAAAATAAAAGAACCAAAACAAAGCACTGCTCTCTGTCCTTAGAAAAGGTTAGTAAGACCTTAGTTTTTGTATCTGAAAAATGGGGATGACAATTTGTGTCTCTACAGCTATTATGGTAACTGGCCTGATACGCCTCCACCATAAGGAGGTGAAGTGTGGTTTTGGTTTTTGAGACAGGGTCTCACCATGTCATTCAGGACGGCCTTGGTCAGTGATACAGTCCAGGCTAGCCTCTGACCTGCCGTAATCCTCCCGCCTCAGCCTGGTGACTGCACACACCAGGACTGGGAAGGAAAGTGCCAGGCACCGTGTCCAGGGCATGTCTGTCCCTCCAGGGTGGGTGCTGTGTGTTTCACAGTTTTATCTGCAGGTTCTTGCTCCATATCTGGTGCAAAGTAGGCATTTGAAATTGTGGAATGAATGACAGTTAGTGTAAATAAGCAGGAGACGCACTTGTGGCCGGGGCAAGGTGGGGACATCACTTGGAGCAGCCAAATGTCCACCCTGCATCTCAAACCCACACAGCTATTCAGCGCATCCCTGTCAGCAGCCCTGGCAAACTGCAAAGAGGTAGCTTTCTGGGGCTATTCAGAGCGCAGGGGCTTAATCTGTGGTGGGGCAGGCTGGCAGTGTCGCC